CCTAAGAGCTGCCTGCGACCACTTATACTTGAGGGGCAGCCGAGGCGGTGCTTATAATTTTCGAAGAGTTAAACCGGATAAGGACCGGCTAGATCCGGTTAACTTCTCAGAACAAAAAAATTAAGAAGTTAAAAGCTTTTTAAGGCATCGGCTACAGAAGTACATATACGCTTAAGCTGGCCAGCTCGTACCGAGCAGCGTGATCGGCGATGATGCTACAAACTCTGTCGCCTTCCAAGTGACAAGGATGGGTTCTCGCAAAAAAAAAGTGACAAGGATGGGTGCATGGTACTCGCTGAAGATGAACACTCAAGTCATCTGCTTCCACTAGAGGGGTCCCCCACACGAACAGGTCGAGATTAGTTTGTGGGTTAACCAGAGGACGTAACAGCTGGCGTTGGCCATTACATTATCCGCGGCACTGGTGCAATGCATCTGATTGTACCGCCTGCTGTGCTCTTGATTAATTGTCCCTGGTAGGTCACGGGGTTGCGATTCTTTAGTCGCACGCATTCATTCATGTGTGGATCCGTGCGTATATCTGGAGAGTATCTTGTAGGAACCCGTAAACAAAGATCCAAGGAGAGACGGTGAAATCACAAGCATCGGGCACGGTGAAATATTTACGTATAGCACTGTTTATGATCCACTGACTATAGTACGTACAAGAGATCGGTTGCGTCTCTGCCGTTGAAACTTGGGAATAATGGCATGCCTGCACCGGCATTTAAGCATGCCAATATTAGCGAGATCCTTTGCTCAGCTGAGCCTCTCGTGTGATTTTGGAAGGATGCGTCGATCGAACTTTGTCGTGTACCCTTTCTTTCGGTTTGCATTTTTTTTTGAATGACCAGCCGTGGAAAGGAAGCAAGATGGCAATGGAAAAGAAAGATCCCGGGCGGGGTGACGGGGCAACAAGAATGGCAACGCGCAGGAGAGCGCATGGATCGGCCCATGGACGCAGGGACTGAAAGGACGGACACCAACCCAATCATTCGCTCATCCGATCGATCGACATTAAGTAGGAACCCCACGTCGAACCGCGGATCGGCGTGGGGGCATGGCCGAGTTCCAATGATTTCTCCGGTCCAGATACTGCACCAGCAAGCCGGTTGAGGATTGACAGGTAGATCAACATTGAAAGCTTGAGGTCGACACGGCCATAGACCGCTACCTCGCAGTTGCAGGTGCAGGCCACAGTGGCGGTGGCGGCAGAGAAGGAAGGGAGATGTCCCCGTCGTCGCCCGTCTGCTCGAGGCGAGGCGAGCCGGTACGTACGGTGCACGGGGGGCGCCCATCCGCGTCGCGCCCCCACGCCACGGCACAGTGCACGGCGATAC